TATATATATATATATATATATATACATGCACACACACTACTTTTCAAAAGTTTGAGGCTACTCCTGGTAATTTTTTTCACTTGTCCCAAGAAGTATTTGTTTTGTACTTTAAAAAAGAGAAAATTATTATACACGGTCAAGTTCCTCCCATGCTAATTCTGGGGTCTTCAAATATTTGAACTGTAGTGTATATTTATATATAAAGATAATAAACTTAAGTAAATTAAACTTATGGACAAGATACTATAGTTTTACCATTATCTGCTCTTCATGTTGTCCATGAACAAACAGTTCTTAGACTACCTGAAGTACCAAAAACTGTGCATTTATAGTAGCTTGTCTGTTAATTTTAATTGGGTTCAATTTTTTTTTTCTTTTAATGGTGCCTTTTGTGAAACAGTGTTTCAGAAAAGTATAACTGACTGTTATTCGTGAAGTAAGTTTTTTACTTTTATCGACCTTTCTCAGATAAATTTAAACTTAATATACAGTTGTACATTATTCATATTAAACTGGATAGGATTTGTCAAATGCAATACATAAAAATTTTCATTCATACTTATGATTATATATATTGTAAAACAGTAAATTCAAGCCCTAGTGGGAGGAATGAGACAAAAATTAACAGTTGTCTCTTTATACTGACTGCATTTGAACACAGTATCCCTTGACAAGGTCTTATCAGTTCTTATCATTGCCCACTGACCTTACTACTACTCCATCTTTTCCTTACTTAATTTTAGCTGTTTTCTCTACTAAACAGTTCTTGTAGTAGGGAAAATTAGGAAAATTTGTAAGGTTCTTACAAATTTGTACCCAAGATTACTTTTTGTAGGCTACATCATTCAGTTTATATGTTATACTTTAAAAGAAGCCAGGGTGAATGTTATTGTTTGAGGGCAAGAGGGATTGAGAAAAGCAGAGAATAATCTACCTGTTGAGCTTGTGTAAATTGTTGGCAGATCAGGGAAGAAAGCAAAAAGACAAAATTTACAAACAACTACAAAGGACACAGCTCAGAAGAAAATTGGTAAGAAATTGATGCAAGCATTGCTGATATACAGAACAGAGTTTATTTTTATTGTTATATGATTATCTGCTTTATAATGTTATATGCCTATATGGTTTATTAAAACACCTGTTAGCCTATTGTAACAAGCAGAAAAAAAGCCTCATGTAAAGTTCAAACCTGTTTTAAGAACATTTCAGTCCTTCTAAATATCAAAAAAAATCTCCAGTTTCATCTTTTTCTTACTAATTATTATTCATTTACTGCAGCCACATCTGGTCTGGTGCTTCTGCTATGTATCTAGAGATTCTTGACAAGATCCAAAGAAGAATCTGCATTGTCAGTCCTGACCAGGCAATTTGGTTTCAATCAGTTTCCTACCACTATAATGTAAACTACCATCTAATTCATCATGCAATAGATCTTTGGCAGTCTGCATAAACCTCCAAAGACTGGTAAAATTGCCCAAATATGGAAGAAAATTATTGCAACACTGATGAAGCCAGGATTTTTAAAGAGCCTTTCAAGTAGATAAGAAAATGTTTAGATCTATCAGATTTTATAAAAACATGATTGAAAAAAAGAAAAAAACTAATTGTCTAAGTATGCAGTTAGGGAATTAAATATATACAGATGACTTCATGTATGCATGTATTTATTATCCCTGTTAAGCATTTTATGCAATATATATATATATATATATATATATATATATTGCATAAAATGCTTAACATGGATAATAAATATATATATATATAGAGAGAGAGAGAGAGAGAAAGAGAATAGTATATACATTCTATGACTATTAAATTTAATGATCATCTTTTCTAAACTGTAAATAAGCCCTGACAAACCTGGCTGCTGCAAATAAAAAAAATTCCCAAAATTTGTCTCTGAAGCAGCCATGTTTATGGAAGGTGAGTTACAGTTTATACTTAGAGTTAATAGATATAAAATGTCTATTTTTCAGTAAAATGTGTTTAAATAAACAATTGCTGCTTAATTATACTCTCTCTTTCTCTCTCTCTATATATATTATATTATATTATATATTCTGTATATATATCTTACTACACCAAACATTAGTTTAAGCATATCTAACTTGGACATTTTTTTAAGCAATGTGAATTACATTTTTTTAAGCAATGTGAATTACATCTTAATAAAGAAAATGTGACTTTTCTTCCGGTTCAAACCTGTGTCCCCACATTGTAGGAGAAACTACCACCTCAAACAGCATGCTTCAGATCATTCAACCACAGACAGCATCACAGGCCATCAAGGTTCAATGACTGAACAGTTTAAAGCATCCAGGTCCAATGGTGGCTTTTCCTACAAAGGGGAATGCAGATTTGAAAACTGCCAGCAAGCACTTATTCTACCTTTCTTTCTTTCTTCTTTTGTTCTTTCATGGCTCTCTACAATTTCCTGTCCTTTGTAGGTAAATTTTTGTCTTTTTGCTCTCTCTCTCTCTATTAGTCCATATTCTGCCAACCATTTACGTTAGTTTGGTTATTTGCTGCTTTCCTCTGTACTTCTTACTTTCAATATATCCTGTGAGTATTAAATTTTCTAAGCACTCTTTTCTCATTATCTGCCCTAGTAATTTCAACTGACCCTTTCTGAAGTTAAGTATAATTTTCTTTATTAGATCTCTGAATTTTACAGGTCAATAGACATAATTCACACTGCTTAAAAAAAAAAACATAAATCAAATGAGATTACTTCATCACTGCCAATGTTCAACATCAAGATAGTGTCTGACTACCTGTTTGTTTTATCTATATCAGGGACGTTTGGTGTTGCTGGATTTTAAATCAGTCCACTGAAACTAGAGAGTGCTTTTTAATATATATATATATATATATATATATATATATATATATATAGTCATCCACAGACAGACTGTTTTGCTGTATCACAGCTCATCAGTGTGGCTAGACATCCGGTTGCCTCTAGCTAGGATCAAAACCCGACTGACGCCAGTTCAGTTGGGGATTCTACCACTAAGGCGTTGGTGCACAGCAGGGATGAAGGTGAATTTAAGCATATTTATTTTTAGATAAACACACAGTGACCAACAGGACTCAATTCACTTTTGCCGAAGAGTCTTGCTATATCAGCCATAATAGTCACTGTTTACAAACCCACACTTCCTCCCCAGAGAGCTCAACCGAAATAAATTTTTCAGGAGGTATCTTTGTGTAAGGTTACCATTTATCCTCAGAGATACCTAGATATTTTTCTTCACATACTATTTTGTCTTTCTTTCATTCTAATCTGAGGAAGCCAAAGAGAATAGCTGCTCTCGGTGAAACATGTTGTCTATAAATTGTCTACTTTGTCTCATCATCTTCACTTTTGTTTTGGATATTATTATACGTACTACAAACACACACACACATATATATATATATATATATAAAAACAAGAAAACCAGAAAAGGTCACTAATTTTTTTATTTACTGTGACCCCTATGTTTATCCTTAATTTCCAACTCTCTACTTAAAGTGACCCAAGCTGAACTTGCTGCTGATCCCATACTAGAACTCTTTCAAGGGTTTCTCTGGCTTGTCAAAGTTAGACATTGATCTGTTTTCAATAAATATTTATTCTTTGTGTTATTATTGCATGGTAATCATAGGAAGACATTTGGATACACAACAACACCCATCCATGGGCCCAACTGCATAATGTCTTGTGTCAGATGACAACAGCAGCTGTTTAAAATAATCAGCATAAAAAAAAAATGAACATAAAAAACAGAGGAAGAAATAGACAAAAAATGTTACTAAGAAAATAAAAAAAAAAGAATTGTGCAAATAAGTAGTAACATTTATCAGTGAAGTGGGTAGGGTTATTTCCCTCTTTCTTTTTGCTATTCTTGATAATATCATATGTTTCTGAAGAAAAATAGTTTGTATTCAAAGTTGACAAAATAAAGCCATGACTTTAATGGAGGTGGTAATCTGGTTAAATGAGATTGTCAAGATGGGCATAAAAGTTTCTTTTCTTTTCTTTTTTTGACATAATTTAAATGATGATTTAGACTAGAGGTGATATAAGTTAATATCAAACAGATTTATTGTGCATACATAAGAATCAGTATCTGTGTCATTGCATATAAGAGACGTTACTGAAAAGTTCTTTGCCCAACTAAGAAATAATTTTTTTTAAATATGATATTTGGTTATTTTGTCAGATTTTGGGAATTGGTCCAAGCTAAGAACTTTTCAGCAGTCCCTTGTATATTTCTTCTTCAGGATCTCTGCTTGGTCCTCCTTATTTCCAATTTATATTATCAATTTCCATTCTCATATTTTAAATATATATATGCTGATGATACCATGTTTTATGGTTGCTCTGATTATTTAGATCTTTGAAGGTCCACCCATAAAAGATTTACAATTAATTAACACAGTTTTAATCTATTTATTTTTCTATCTCTAACCTTTATAACTGGGAACTACCATGTTACACACATACACACACCTGTTAATTTTCTCAATTCTCTTCATATTTCAGTAATAAGAAATAAGTTCTCTTTGAACAGTTTCTTCCCAAGAACTGCATGTTGTTTTCCCAATCACTGCAATCTTGACATCTTCAAGTCTAGCATTAACCATTATCTTTCTTGTATAATCACATTAAATTCACTTCTTGATTTTTCTTATACTCATATGACATCAAACACTAACCCTCTGCATTGAGAATCTTGAACCTTGTATCAATTTGATTTGATTGATTCAATTTCTATGGCTTATCAATGCTTTGAAGCCAGAAAATATTGTAAGAATATTTTTGGGAGATAATCATGATTTCATGATACTAACTAATTAACCAATAGCTGGGTGAGGAAAAGAGGTGATTTCATATCTTTCCCAAGAGTATTTGCATGTAAGTGGATATAATGAACCTGACTGGAATTGGAACTTGGCTCTCCATTTAAAATTTCTGACCCATTATCCATTACACCACCCACACATCCATGCTGACAGCACCTGGTATTCATAAGTAATCACCCATCTAGGTATTGAGCAGGCCCACTGTTGCTTAACATTGGTGATTGTATGAGAACTGGTGTTTCAATAGGATATGGCTGTAAGCCTGCTTTGTATTGGGTGAATATTAATATAAAAAAATTATCCTCCCAGCAACAGTTTAAACAGACCCTTTTTTTTCATATATCTAAATTATAATGAAAAACAATATTTTTGAAAAATTAAAAATTCCATGGAAAGATATTAGAAATTTCCAAGTTTTCATTTGAAGTCAAGAAAATATGAACTTTAAGCAAAATAGTTACAAGATATGCAAGAAAAAGGCATCAGTTTAAACTGACACCAGGTGGATATGGATTAAGCTTCATGGAAAGTGAAGCTAAATAAAAGTACTTCTACTGCATATTAGTTAAAAGGCAGTAATTAATGACATTGCCAAAAGCAAGTCATAGTGAATTCATTTCCCCTTGATGTATGTATCCATGTGACAAACTTAGTTTAGACCAATAAATATCACATTGATTTTTAGCTTGTTTTTCTTTAATAACTAAACTATTACTTTTGTTATTTCCTAAAAACACCTCCCGAGTGCCATATATTGAAGTTGGGTATCTAATAGGCTAATGTTTACTCAGATACTGTGGGCCAGCAATACTTGTACATTGTCTAATTCTATAATACTATCAAAATTAAATGTAAACAGAGAGATGTTCTTATTTACCATCAAATATAATATATCATACTTCCATTGAAAATTTTCAAAAAAGCAAGAATCACCGCCAAAAAGCAAATTTTTAAATCTATTTAATTTAGAGAACTCCTTCTTTTGCAGGAACCTTGCAAATCATTTGTTTTTTAAGTATGGTTTATTGTAGACTTTATTCTGGTTGTATGAGTTAATGAAAATATCTGGTGTCAAGTTCTCATAAGGACTTGGCACAGAGAAATTACTTTATTTTTATACTCAATTTCACTTAATGAAAGTTTCAAGAGCAACTCAAGGTAGAGGGTTACTGTTAAAAAGGTAATGATTAATGGATGCGGTGTGTGATATAAATGAAAGAGGAGGTAGAAAGAAGTTAAGATTGTGAGGATAAGGGGGATAGATAATGATTAACTCTTGACATGAAGAGGTTAAGATTGTAGTCTTTAGAGAAAAGTCAATGTCATACAAGTAGTAGTTTTTAGGGAAGGAAAACTGTGGAATTTTTCTTTACATTTGAAGGAAATAAGAGTGATTTGACTCTATGGAAGGAGCATGCCACGTCCTCGTAGTAATGGTCTCTACTGGTGAATCTAAAGAATGGAGCTCATAGAAATAGCATTAGCATAGTGATAGGCTTGCAAATTTGCATCTGTTGAAAAGAGGTTGCATAGTGGGGAATAGATATTCCCTAATAAGACCATGCAAATGATTTTGAACTCTACAGAGACTGAAAAATGAGGATTGAGAAGCTCCACTACAAAGAATAAACTTAGCAAAGATTTTCCTTAGAGAAACTAATGGCTAACTCCTACAGAAGATAGTGAAATAAATCAAGAAGAAAGTACTAAACACCAATTGCAAGGAGACAGAATGCATGGCTCTTAGCAAAAGAAACAGTCCAATATGAAAATTACAAATTTGAAATACCAAAATCAAACACGTACAACAATTTCAAGAAGAGTAAGATAGAAAGTATGACACTAAAATCCATAGGCACATTGGGATAGCTAAAGATGCCTTCCAAAAGCTAAGTAAAGCATAAAGAAACAGGAATATTTCATTAGAAACAATAAAGGAGTACTGAACTGTTATATAATATCAGTTTTCCTATATGGCAGTGAATGCTGGACAATTACCTCATAAATGAAGAGAAAACTTTAGCCAAGAGAAATTTGGTTCTACAGAAGGATGCTGAAAATACTATGAACCAAACATTTGAACAATGACAAAGTTTTAGAAACAGAAAGGACACATACTTATCAGAATGAGGCCATTGTTATTTCTAGAGCACATAATGAGGAAAGAAGGTTTGTAAAATTTGATAGTCACAGGACATACTGAAGGCAAGAGGGATAGAGGAAAGCAAAGCATAAACTACCTAACAAGCTTGTATAAATAGACAGCAGGACAGGGCTGAGGAGAGATAACAAAATGATAAAATTTATTAAGAGCTGCAAAGAACAGAAAATGGTGAAGAGCCATGATTGACAATGTCCTGAAGGGACTCGACACATAGATGAAGACAAGATGGAAAAGTGAAACCTTAAAATAGGTCATTCATAAAGACAAAATAAGGGCTTTAAAAAAAATGCTGAAAATGTTATGACACAAGGAGAGTAAGCTTTACAAGGAGAGTAAGCTTTACAATGTCATCCCTAATAAAATGGAAATTTTGGTTCAAGTAGCAAAAGCAGTTGTATCCAAAGTATAAAAAGTAAATGAGTGTTAAATTAGTAACTTATAAATTTTGTCTCTCTAATGTGATGACCTCTGGAGGCATTACTCTGTTTTATTTGCTTATGTGAAATCAAGTAATATAATATCACCAAGTATTATATAACATATCAACTGGAAATGAGAAGTGATAAGGAGGTTAAGTATAAAACTAAGGAGAGAAAAAGAAAATAAAGCTAAATGGTGTGGAGAAATGACAAGAAAGAAAAAATGAGAAAATTAGTATGAGAAGGAGTAAAAAATTCAAGGAAAAAAAGAAAGGAGAATTTTTTTTAGAACAAAGTTTTAGAATGATTTTTAATACATATTGTTTAGCAATTTTTTTTAGTAAATTTTGCATCACTTTTTTCTTGTTTTTTCTAAAGAAATTTTCAAGAAGGATGTTACTCATTGCCTGCATATCATCATCCTCATAAATTCAAAATAAAAAATAAAAAGAGCAATGCTGAAGTCAAAAGTATTTTTTTCTGTTGGTATTGAAAAGAAATATCCAAGAATTCAAATAATAATAATGTCTTATTATCATTTTGAAGAATTTTCTCATAAGTTGTCCTTACAGGATTATAAGTGAATTATTTCAATGGAATTGGACCATTTACTACCTTTTCATAAATATTATTATGGAACATTCATGTCTCCAGCATCATCTTTTCCATGTCACTCTTTCTTTCTTTCAAGATTCTTACATAAATTTCTTGTTGCTATTCTTTGGTCCTTAAGTTTACCATGACTATCTGACAATATCTATGACTAGTTAGCAAAGGAAAACCATTCTTTGCATTTCTCCATATTCTTGTGCATGTCTTTTTTACAAAATGATAACAAAAGCAAAAGAAAGAAGAAAAATGACTAAATGCTGTGCCCACAGCACACATACACACACACATGCATAAAAAGCGAAAATAATAATCGGCATTCTTTTTTTAAAAAGGCACCTCTTTCCATGTTGCATGTTCTGTCTGCCTGTCTGTCTGTTAAGACGATTGGTTTAATGTCAGAGTGATTGAGACTCAACTAGTTCCCTTTATGGAATATAATGGAAAGGCAATTCCTGGAATTAAATTTTCAGCTGAAATTTTGCAGAAAGATGGAAGCAATTTTTAATAATCGTATCAATACATGTGTCCTTTGTGTACCTACTTTTGTGTATGGGTGTGAGTTTGCATATAATATTTATGTGAGGATATGTGTACACACACACACATACACACACACACACACACACATATATATATATATAAATGTTATGAAGGCATTTTTACATAAAATGATACTTTATGTATGTATATATATATATATATATATATATATATATATATATATATAGTAATTGTGTATCTCTGTACATGTAGGTATAAACATAAGAGTACTTGTTTATCTATATATGTCTGTATGATATAAGCAAATTCTGATATATTTTTCTGTATTTAAATCATTATAAATGATGTATATATCTGCGTATAAAGCTATCTGTCATATATATATATATATATAAAATTTGCTATGTTTCTATACATATGCACATACACATATATTATTTATACTGCATCTATAAATATGTATACATTATATATATATATATATATAAACTATTCTTGTGTACATGTCTATGTAGCAAAGTAAGTAAGGTATCTACTTATTTATACTTTATAAAAAGCATATCGAAGCATATGTGACTGAAAAAGAGGTATAATATTTTCGATTAATGAAGTAATGTCACCAAGAAGATGGCATAAGAGAAAATGCCAGGACGTATTTCATTCCCAATTGTCAGATTTCTGAAAGACACATTCATAATCACCAGAATATCACAAAATGTGGAGAGAAAAAAAAAAGTTTAAAATAAAACAAGAAAAAAATGATCTGAGCTATTTATTCCCCCAACCCTCTCATAATTGATTCTTGGAGACATTCTTTATAGAACATTTTCTTTTTTACGATTTTGATGGCAATGGTCAATTGCAAATTCTTACATTTTTGTCCTCTTTTTTTTTCTACTATGTACCTTCTGCATCTAATTTTAGAAGAATTCTTCATTTCATTGTTCAGATATCCAGGTTTCATTCAATTACCTTAAATTAATTAATTGTATTATTGCATCATTTGATACATTTAAGAAGACAACTTCAGATTGTTTCAATTATATTATTGTAAAGATAGGATATACATATATGTGTTAGCTTAATGGTTGAAGCATTAAGCTAAGAGCTGTAAAGTCTATAGTTCAATCATCCATTGCTGCATTGGGAAAATTAATTTCAATTTATGTCTGAGATGGATACCTCTAATTCCAGCTCAGAAAATCTGTGTTCACTTCATACTAATGTCCTTGAAAGCAAGAATTCAATTCTTCTAACAGCAGCAGGGCAAACAACACTTTATATTTGGTAGTCTAGAAGAAAGACACTTCAAAACAGTTAAGAATACAATTGGAAACCACTATACTATTTTTGCAAAGAATAATTGTTAAAATGTGCATTTTTATATATATATATATATATATATATATATATATATATATATATATGGAGGCACAGTGGAGTAGTGGATAGCAGGTCAGATTGAGTGATCAGAAAGCCAAGTTCAAATTCCAATTAAATCCATTACATTCACTTATGTGCTAATACCTTTGGGAAAGGTATTAATCCTCTTCTTCTCCCTC